TGTGGCAGTGCCGTGCTTTGGGGTGGCTCTTCTTCCCTGCATGTGGCTTTAGTTGCTCCTGCCAGGCTGCCTCGCACGGTGACCCTGGTCATGGTCCCTCTGTGCTGGGGTCAGCGGTGCCAGGCCTGAGCCCCTGATGTGGGGTGCCCCCTGTTACACCCCAATGGTTCAGCACCTTGCAGGGTAGGATGAGGCCCTTGCTTGGGTTATTTCTGTGTCTGAGCCTCAGATGGTTTTTTGGTAGTGCACAGCACAGCTTCTCCCCGGCGTGGGTGGCTGTAGGGTGCTGGGGAGAGAAGCAACGTGTGGCCCAGGGGATCCCCCCCCGCTGTCTCCCTCGCCCTCTCTGGAGGGGCCCAGCTGGCCTCTGCTGAGCAAAATCTGTTCTTCTCCTCCGGATATTTCTTTCCTTGTTCTTTAATGATTTTCACTGCTCAGCTCAGCCGGTGGCTCATCTGCTTTTCGTTACTCATCGGGATGCTGTCAGGGTAACCATCACGCGGCTTCTCCTCCAACTTCTGAGCCACGGCTGCTCACGGCTGGGCCCTCGATAGCATCTCTGCCCTGTCCCTCTCATGGTGGCCCGGTAACCGAGGCCGACACTCTGCAGTAGCCAGCTGGGCTCTGCAACTGCGGGAAGGAGCCAGCGAGGCCTCAGTCCCCATCCTCCCGCTGCACCGTCCCCCCACACAGCGTACGGGTGCTGCTGGCACCGGACTCTTCGCGACAGCCCACGCTCTGACTCAGCAGTCCCCGCTGTTTTGCTTTGCGGATCCGCTTTGCTCAGCTGGGTCGGGAGCGGAGATCAGTGATGCCTGGGCTGGGCAACGGTGAGCTGCAAGGAAGCTTCTCCCCTTGTGGTGGATGCACCGGGGCTGCTGGTCGCACCCCACGGGGCTCTGGGTGCAATGGCTGTGGGGCCGGTGCCAGCAGCAGCGAGGGCTGGTGCTTTCCCTGCCGCAGCATTGCCAGGTCTGCCAAGCGAAGGAGCCAGTGGGCACCGGCCTGTGGCCCGAGGACCGGGATGGCCAAGATGTGCCTGAGGCGAGTGCGGGCCATGGGCCAACTATTGATCTTCCTCTGCCTCGGGCACATTTCATTCTCCATCTCATTTCTTTAAAAGCATGGTGCTGGCTGCCAAGCCTCCCGAGGCTTCTGCGTCATTCACACCCACTGCACCAGAACCCTGGCAGGAGTAGGCAGCAGAG